ACAATACTCGAAAAGATGCTTTAGGTTCGACAACATGACCGCTATCTAACAGGTTTTTCGTTACAGACGAACGGGGGGTTCTGTTTTCCTGTTTGAAAAGCCAATTAGGCAAATGCTCATCGACCCTGGTTGCCAATTGCCTTGCGTTCGCCCAATGTACTTGCATCCGTAAGTGCATTTGAATTCATATACACAATTTGGGGTGGCGTGCATTGGCAAGGCATCCTTTGCCCGGTTAATTGGAAGGCTTTTTGTGGAACTCATGAAGATAAGCTCTGCTGCGTTGTACGTTCTTTCTATAGTGCAACGCAAGCGTCGTTTGATTGTGTTTGAGACGTTGTCACCCTTAAAAGGTAGACACATTATAACGGGCTTCTTCGGAACGGAATGTTCCGTCAACTTTGGCCGTAGGTGATTGCTGTACTTCTGAAGGAAGCGTGCAGGATAACCACGATTAAGTAAGGCTTCTTTAATTCGGGCAGTTTCTGTATCTATGGTCTCTCTAGAGCAAATATTTCTCGCTCTTTAAAAAAAGAGTATGTACTAGATTACGTTTCCATTGTATGGGCGCAAAGCTTTTAAAATGTAAGTATTGCCCTTTCCACTTGACCTCTGCAAGCAGTTAGATCACGTGATCAATCTGCAATTGTACTGGTAATCTTACCCCTCAAGTTACTCCTGACTGTGATTTGTTGCTTACATTTCATCTCCCTCCTTTTCTATATGATGCTTATGTGGACGTCTTATCTGATTATTCATTGCCTTGAAGCCTGACCTTGCTCTTATGCACTGCCATTCTGTACAGATTCATACTGCTGTACGCTTTCATTTGTTACCTATGTTATGCAGAGACGGGCTGCCGTTGAAAAGCCGTCACGAAATTTATTGGCCTCAATAAATTCTGCTGTACATGCTTGTTTTCAATTCATACCCGGGAAAAAATGCTTCAAATTTGAATGTTTGTAGCGAATATGCGAATCCCAGGTTCTTGTTGTAAAGAAGATGAAGACCCAATCTCTGGGACAGTGGGTTTATTAGTCTGAGCTTTCGGTCTCGTACAGGAGGCCATCGTCAGAGACTGTGAGAAGGCAACATCAAATGAGCGGTTTTTGTAGTCACGCCATGAAGGGGGGAGAGAGATATGAGTGCAGATGGTGGTATTCACGATAAGTTGCGTCCCACGCCGTCTCACGGTGGCGTGACTGCGTGCACCCTTGGCTGGAAATTGGGTCTTGCCCCTTGGCCGCGGGAACGGAGCGCGTGATAGCAGGGGGGTATGTCAAAGGGCTTGTTGATAGCGTTGGTGTCAGACACCCAGGCCTATAACAGTTCTCGTCCTGTCTTATTGCTGGCCCGCGCCACTATCCGCGTGCTCGCAAATTTGAATTCGTGGCCTTCCTCTAGGGTGTGAGTGGCGATCTCAGACAACGGGTCGCCTCTCCGGACCGCCCGTTTGTGCTCCGTTATCGTGAGCTAAGTCGTCGTCCGGTTTGTCCAGTGAATGTTAGTGCTTACGTGATGCTCTGTCGACTTTGGCAGGTGCGATGCGGTTGATTTCGTGTTCTATTTTGAGGCCAGTCAATCCTGAGTGAGATCAACCTAGGTGTCCGGATTGGTATGCAAAACCTTGAGGGGGTTTCCTGGTGGTGTTTCCTTCTTGTGAGTGAGCACCTGCAGCAGCCCTTTTTGTGAATAAAAGGTCTCCATCCTAGCTTGATGGTCGTCCAAGCATGGTGAGAATGGCGATGATTCCGCCCCACTGAATGATTTCCCTGTCCTGTACGTCACTTTCAGTATTCTATGAAGACACCTGATGAAGTACTGGTTTACCTTGGCTGTTGTAGACGATCTGCGTGTACGTCGGCATGCTCAATGCGTTGAACAGTTGTTCGTCAAACCAGTAGTTGACGCTGATTTCCGCCCACTCCCAACGGAAGACATCTGTTTACAAATCGAAGAATGTAAGAACGAGCACACAACCGTGCTTCACTCTGTTGGTCACTGTAAACACTTCCAAGATTACCCCATTGTCCGTGACGAGAAAAAATATTCCGCCGTCTAGTTAGCGTGGTCTGTGTGTGTGAGCTGCTACGGACACTTGAATTTCAGCGTGCCCCTGCAGAGTTCATAGGGACTGTCTGTATTGATGACTCTCTTCAGGTCCACAAAAGTAGACTTGTCCGCATTTTCTGTATTTTTTCATGGCTGTTGTTGGTTAACAGCATTATAATAGTTTGCAGTTGAAGTTGGTTTCATGCAACCTATTTCTCTTGGCAAGCGGATTGCTGATTTCCTCGTCATAGCTGATGGAAGCGAACAGGCGAGTTCCAGGAAGCAGTTCAGAAGACGACGATGTGAACGTTGGAATAAAAAATTTATTGGCCTGACGTCTCGGATTCTCACCCGAACGCATCATCCGAGACGGTCACGAATAGGGGGATGGTGGCTCAAGGAGTGTAGTATTTATAGCGCGTGGCTGTCTTTGACCCATATTTACACTGTAATTAACAGCTCTCACAATCTCTGCTGCGGTCGTAGTTGCTGCTATGATGGTTTGTCAGCATCGTTAATTGCCGCGGCACCGTGTCGGCGCCGTAAGCGTGGCGGTGTCTAGGTTGCCTTCTTCCGCGTGGGAAGGCGGAAACATTTGCTGGTGCGGATGATTCTGTTTTCTGCACATTTTCACAGAAGAAGGGCTCAACTAGTGTTGCAGCAATCGAGTCGCTGGGGATTCAACACTTCCTCGCAGATTGTATCGTTTGAACTGACGGGGTTCATTCGCCTTTCGTTCACGGCGCCAGGAGGGCGTGCAGGGTTTCGGAGAAATTCTTCGTTGAGAAAAATAGGTGCTGGCAACGCAAGCGAATATGCTTCCCCTAAGATGTAGACGTACAGTAGGTGGCAACATATGAAATGTCAACCGAACACCGAAATGCGTTTTCGTTCAGAAAAGATTAATTAAGTAGGGTTGTAAAGCCAATCAGCATGCTACCTTATTCTATGATAATTCAGTTACGTTAGGATGCCAGCTTTCGAAAGAAATTCCTTTTGACTGCATGCAAAAGCTTTTCTCCGTAAAATTCACTACTTAAGTAGCATGCATTTGTCTCATCGATTTTGATGCCCGTAAAAAGTCAATTAAAGTTGATGGAAGACATATGTAAATATATAAATTCTTTTACTCATTCGGTAGAAAATTACGTTCCTCTCAATTTTATGCTCAAAGAAAGAGTGTACTTCGGTTTTTAAAAACTGTCCTATTTCCTGAATAATTTTAAACCCAATCTGCCGTCACATACGCATTCAGGGTTTCCAAACTACCAACCGCATATTTTCTGTGCACGGAAAGCCGTACATTTTTCTGCGATATTAAAAGGAGACCGTTTGGAGTTCCTAAAAGTTAGCAGTGGATTTTAACCACATTTGTAAATGCAGAGACATGACGTTTTACAAATGGGTTTTTCATGGTATTAAAAAATCTCACAATTAAAAACTTTTTTCAAACCGAATTATACCCTTCCTTAGAGAATGGACTTAAAATAAGATGACATTTTCTACCGAATAGCAAAAGCATGAATATTTTAATGCATGTTTTCCATTAAATATAACTGACTTTTTAGGGACATCGAAAATAAATGGAAAACATGCATGCTACTTAAGTATTGATTTTTTACAGAGTTCAGTTTTGTACGCAGTCAAAAAAAGTTCTTTCGAAAGCTGGCACCCTTAGGTAACTGAACTATCATAGAATTATGCTGCATGATTTTTGCTTTTACAACCCTCCTTAAGTAATCTTTTCCGAACAAGAACCCACTTCGGGATTTCGGTTGAAATTTCTTGAGGTAAAACACTTACTGTCATCAGGCGGTTATTGGTGTTCAGCAGCGGGCAAGGTAATACACCCACAATGTCGGTCCAGATAGCGGAGGCGACACCAGTGCCGCGTTGCTTCCCCTAAGACGTAGACGTAGGGTCATTAGGCGGTATTCAGCAGCGCGCAAGATAATCCGCCCACGATGCCGCTGCGTCGTTCTGAATTTGAGTAGTCGCTCCAGAGGAAGGTAAAACCGATACCCAACCTCTGTAGTTGACCCTGTTCACAGAAGCGCGTATATCTGAGGCCAACCATGCGTAGCTTGTGACGTACCAGTTCTCGAGCGACTTACACCGTCCTCGTATTTAGCCGGTGACTCTGCAAGAATTCTATAAGAAGACGAACATTTTTGGGCTGCCAGAGCAAACAGAGTCCCTAAGGAAGCCTCTGGGATGTGGAGAGGGATAGGTACCAGTGTTAAGTATTTCAGAAGTTTAAACAGGCAGTAAAATCCAGTTTTTGACTGTCGTTCAACACAGACAAAAGGATGGATCTATCCAGCATTGTGTATTACAAAAGAAACCCTAGAGGAGACACTAAATTACTTTTCACAGTTTTGTTCCCAAAAATTCAAACATAAATTACTGCAGGGGCTAGCAACCAGAGTACGGGGTATTTCCTCACCTGAGACCCCAGGAGGTGCAGAACATTCCCCGCGAAAGACTAATCCTCCGAAATATTGGAGGGCGTGCTGCAAAGCCTGGTATGACAACTGTTAAAAGAAAAGACTGCCTCTTTCAGGGATAGCAGGAAGCAACCTATTAAGACGACGTCTGCAGATAACGATCGCTAGCGTTTACTCTAGGCAAATTTACGCGTACGTTTCGCAAACTCTCTCCTCGTACACGTGGCAAAAGAAGACCTACCACCTTTGCAGTCCACATCAATGTGTATTTACGCATTTATGTACTCCGGTGGAGCGGGATACAGTGGCCGTACAACAAGACGTCTGGAAAAAAGATTACCTCATCAAATAGCGGTCTGGATCGACAGAGGTGAAAGCAGACCGGTTTTGAGTTCCATTCTTGCACCTCTAGTCGGTAAGACTCACCGAGTCAATGCCCAAGAAGACTTTCAAGTTGTCTACTAGACACAAGCAAACATTCCCAGAGGCCTACTCCAACGGATGCTAGCTACAGCCGAGATAGTGGCTATACGGTAAGCTAATTCAGTTCTGTGTCTTTAGAAGGCGTTGACACAGGCGCTCTGTCTTCCGTGGCCATCTTTGCCCCTAGTTAGGTATTACAAACCGTATAACCCCTTGATGACAGTGATGTATACTTCACGTATCCGATGAGAAAACATCACTTACAGGCTACGTCACCCCACCGTTTTGTCTGGCAATCATAAGACGACGACCTCGCCATACGGATGGCTTGGGAATGATGAGTGTTTATAATTCCCGAATCGCTTAGGAGCACTGTGTATTGCTCACATTTTCAATTTCTGTGTGACTGCACTGGCCTGAAGATGAGTTGCCAATAAACTAATGTTTTCCAAATTGAATTATCGATTATTTGATTGGTTCGACCGCAAGTTGTACATCCGTGAGTAACGGTCATCCTGTAGATGCAGAAGGTGGCCGGAATTTCGCCGCCAGACAGAGGTCAGTGTCGGAACACTGAAGACGAAATTTGTGTCATTCAGAAAGCATGCAGAGCGGTTACCACCCAGACGAGACAAATGATGTTACCTGCTACAAGCCTCACTCCAAACCCATGACTGGACATACCCTACACCACAACACAAAAGCCACATGGAGGATACTTAAACCTATCCGGGCCGGAATTAAACTGAGAACCAGGCGAGTTTACTTGCGCGGGGGGAGTGTGCAGTTGGAAACTCCATCGATAATTTGACTGCGGAGTGAATGCGCTGGGGGCTGCAGACGCACTGCTCTAATTGAAGTAACCGTGCTATTCCGGAACGGTAATGCCGGCATAGGGGTTTCGCTGTTTCTTTTCAAGATGTGAGGATTGAAAGGATATATGTTGTGCCTAGGGGTAAGTTGACCCAAACAACGGACCACACGGGAGCCAGAGCTATGTCCTGCACACGCTATTGAACTGGACACTCATAACAAAGGCGGGGAAGAAAATTGTGATGTCACGTCTAGGCGCAGGTACGTGCCGTGCCGGCCACCGACGACTAAAACTGCCTCCGGTATTTTTGACTGAGACCTGACATTGAGTACACACCTGCACGGCGAACCCTTCAAACACACGCCCTCACTCCATCTGAATATTTAAGAAACTTTTAAATACATACCCGTGTCTATTTGAAAATTGAAATTTGAGAACTTCTGACTAGCTTTAGAAGAAGAGTACGCAGTTCTGATAAACAGAAGTGAAATTATATATTTACGTACGGCTATGTATAATAGAATGCGAGAGCTTGCAACGACAATACGTCACTGAAGACGAACAGAATAAGTTTGATAGGAATCTGACTTGATCATTTGATTAGGAGCTTTATTTGCCTGACGTTTCGGGTTCACGCCCGAACCCATCGTCAAATACAGTATCAGCTACGAGTGAGTTTGGCTAGTACAAAGTGTCGTCTCAGAATCTGCCTGTTTGAAGCTGGTCCTATGATTCATGACGCAAAATGATTCACTATCCCTTTATTAAGTCAGGCCAGCACCGCTGACTGCAATCTCCTACATACCACCACCACCACCACCACCACCACCACCACCACCACCACCACCACCACCACCACCACCACCACCACCACCACCAACACCCCCACCACCAGCAAAACCATCGTCACCAAAACCACCACCACTACCACCACCATCACAAAATTATGTTTATGCTAGCCGAAAACATTTTGGTACCATGTTTATTTAAAGGTAGATATTGCGTGTATCGTTTTCAATAGAGTTTTCTAAGGCATTGCCTATTACCCTTAAATTATACTGACCCATGTGATTTTCAAGTACTACTTCCATGTAATGAAAATTATCAATCGTCGGAACAGATCTTTTCTTTGTTTTGTCTTTTTATGAGGCAGATACATTGCATATTTGGTTGTGAAAATCAGGTGATTTACCGGATGTATGATAGTTTTGGCTGCCCTAATGCACTGTCATGCGGGATTCTACATTAGGTCCTCGCATCACCCGAAGTCGCGAACCGGTAGTTGCCGTTCCTTCTGTTATTCTATTTTGAACTCTAGTCAATCTTGACACTATTGCTCAGTATTTTTCTCTCTTGTTCGCCTGACTGCCCACCATTCCCACACGCCTAGCTATATGCAAATAAGTTAGGAATGAGTCCCCTCTAGACCGCATTTGCCGGTGCAAACAGTAACGATCGGTTTCTTTTAAAACCGCATCAGCCACTACCTCAGTCTGCCTTCAAAGCGGACAAGAATGAGTAGACAGTGCGCATTTTTGCAAACCAGGGAGTAGTCATTGTCCACTGTCCGGAAGTTACCTTGGGTAAAAGAGTCCTGCGAATGGCGGTTTGACTGAATACGGCACAGCAGTCTGGTGCGTTTTATCAGATTTCGTGCCGCAACTGTCCCGGCTACTATAAAGGCTGGAATGCACAGCGGCCGGACTCAAGAATACGGGCGGTTGAGAGAAGCGTCCAGCTTTTCCAAACGGGCTGTGAGGGAAGATAATAAATTCGGCTTTTGTGACACACGGATGCTGGTGTTGGCCGGTAGCGTGAGGAGCCTGCCTCCCTGACGGCAACTGCGCAAACCAATGTACGGATTTTTCATTCGAGTTTTACACGCCACACACGCAGCTTGGTAGCACAACCTTGTTCCCAGACGAAAGCTTGCGCTACTGCCATAATTATTCTGCTACTTATTACCGCCACTGTGGTCTTTTATGTTTGAGCTAGGGACATACAGACTGGTTCTGCCTTCAATTGGATGAGGGATGCTTTCGGTACTTTCAAAAAACAGATGGCACTTATAAAGTCCGTTTTGTGGGAAGGTCAATCATCGCCCACATAGATTCTGCGTATTTTACGAAAAACAGTTTGTTTTAGAGAACTTAACCGTCTCAAAAACAAAACTAACTACTATCAGGGTTGAAAGACGTGACAGCAACAACGATAACCTCCCCCGCAAAAATAAAAGAACAGTCGCCTGTAGAATGCTTCAAAGTAATACAAACATATTTTCATGCATAGCTACGAAAGCAACAAACGACAGCAATATTCTGGAGGTATGAACATTATATTATGGTTCGCATATGTTTATACGTAAGTGCATTTTTGTGTACAGTAAAACGCAAACTCATTTAACTTCAAACATTTTATGACGAGTTGCACGAACGAAGTTCCATAGCACGCGAACGCTTACCCCCTAAAACTGGCGTATCTATGTAGGACACAATCCAATGACCCGACAAGACCTTTGGAAGATGTTCTCGGAACATTCTTACATGCCAGCCAAAAACACCCACTGAATACAGCCTTGTCAAATCGTCGAACCTTACTATCAACCTTAGATTGTGGTTACCCAGGGAAATAATCTCGAAAGATGGCATATGGTTGGTGAATGTAGACAAAAGAGTAGAAAGAGTTTATGTAAGACTGCATTCTTACAAATGGTAGGGTTGTTTCACGGATTTGTCATCCGAGGAATGGAGAGTTGTCTGTATTTATACGGTACACTTTGCGTTGTAAAGTGTTCACAAGCAGTAAGCCGCAAGTAAGTGACACGCCGTGAGTGACAGCTTCATGGAGGGGCATCGCGTGCTTGAAAAGAAATCATACACATCTTTTCTACAACTGGGTTTCTTAATACAGTGGCCAACCTCATTAAGTGTTGACCAAAGTTCTAAAATGCGTTTTATTGGAGATGGTTTGCGTAAATGGTATTGTCATATTGATTGTATTGCAGCTCAATCCAGCGACATTTCAGTAATGTCATTTAGCTGATTTTGGAATGCACTTCTCTTTGGAAGTCCACAAAAGCCATATTGAACGAAACCAATCGCTTATTTAATATGGGCATTGCCCATGGATTCTAGCTATTTTAATAAGTTCAAATGTGCATTATAAGAAACAAAATGCAAAACATGTCATCATGCTTCCATTTGGCTAAAAGACCCTATCTTCCAAATAAGTTTGGACTAGTCATGCCATCTCATCTGTGTTCGGAATCATCAAATTTAAAGCTGTATATTTTTCGCGTAGGGACACTTGTATACATGCTAATGGCAGTGAGATGATACCATATAGGGATCAAATGATTATAACTAAATTCTAACTGTGCTGCACATTTCATAAGCAAATTAACCAATAGGCAGGCAGATCTGACGTCCTTTGAACAAGTATTCAGCTGTTATAAAAGGTCCTATCACTGAAAATTCAAAGAAGGTCAAGGGAACCCCGTACTGAAATAGGAAAATTAAGGAAGACGCAACTTGCTAGCAGTTAACTACACGAAAGGATATTGTTGACCATCTGGTGTACAAAGTACATTGAGTGACCGATCTCATGAAATAATGGCTGAAATTCTGAAATGCGTTTTCGATTAGGAAGGAATACTTGGTCGCTGTTGTAATACTGATTACTTTGTGGCATACTCTTATAACATTTCGGACTTGCAGGATGTCAGCTTTTAAAGGCATTTCTTTTTAGTCTCCTGTAGAAGACGTGCTTGGCAAAAAACGAGCCCTTTATGCAGCTTGCATTTTTCCCATTGATTTCCGAATGTCTTGGTAATTCAAATATATTTTATCGAAACCACAAACAAAAATATGCTTTCTTTTAGTCAATCAATAGAGAATCACGTCTGCTTTATATTTTATACTTAAGGAAGAAGTATAATTAGGTTTCAATAAGGTTTTCTAATTGCCGAATAATCTGGAGCCTGATCATTCGTTGCATTAGCGCTTAGTGATTTCACTCTACAAGGTGCATTCGTTCCGCGTAAAGAAAATAACCTATTTTTCTATACCATTAAAGAGATATCATACAGAGTCCATAACATTTTGCAATGGATGCGGACCATGCTGTACATTCCATGAGGAGCAGTGGTAAACGGAAAGGTACGATGCTATGTGAATGGACATTTCGCGGTCTTAAAAAGTCTCTTAATTGGAAACTTTTTTAAAACCTTATTATACTTCTTCCTTAAGTATAAAATATAAAGCAGAAGTGATTCTCTATTGATTGACTTAAAGAAAGCATATTTTTGTTTGTGGTTTATATAAAATATATATGAATTTCCAAGACATTCGGAAATCAATGGGAAAATGCAAGCTGCATAAGTAGTCATTTTTTGCCGAGCACGCCTTCTACAGGAGATTAAAAAGAAATGCATTTAAAAGCTGACATCCTGCAAGTCCGAAATGTTATAAGAGTATGCCACAACAGTATTACAACAGCGACCAAGTTATCCTTCCTAATCGAAAACGCATTTCAGACTTTCAGCCAACATCTCATGAGATAGGTCACTCACTGCATATCTGGATATATAATGCCTTAGAAAACAGTACTACTATTAAGACAGCATAGTAATGCTAATATATTGTAGTTAAGCATAGTATATCATGATAAAGTAAGTATATGATGTGCAATATATTCATGGGGATAATACTAATATCACTGCTAATAGATATTCAGTTTATGGCATGCACGGCTTTTTGCAAGGAGCCGAAAATAGGGAAGTTCAAGAGCAGGTATTTTGGTGCTGCTAGAATGCATTCGGATTGTGCTGCATACTGCTCAATACCATGGCCCAAAATAAATACTTAAACAGGGTAGCCACGTAATTAAATGCAAACTGAGCTGTTCAAACGACTTATTGCGCAGTTTGTTATTTGCCCGCTTTTTTCTTCATTTCCCAATGAATGTAACAAGTGTGCTCTCTGATTCCACTGTTTCATAAACTTTAAATGGTCCGGTTAAGTCGCTGCTTTATCATCTCATTCACTCTTGAACACTTTACTGCTTAACCATGGCAACGCGACTGGCTTCCGAATATGATAGAAATACACTTTGCCGTTCATTCGAAATGATTTAATCATCTCTGACTAAATGAAAACGAAGACAAAACTATAGAAATAAAAATACTGCTTATCACCTTCTTTTGACAGTTGTGTAATGGTGTAGCGGATTTTTAAAAGGATTTCCACCCGCAAAACACTAATGTGAGAGTAATGGCCACTTTTTTAAAGATCCTGACCTTACCAGAACTGATGAATACCAGACGTTGTAGGAGGCAATTTTGGTAAAATGACTCAAGTACTCTTAAGCTCACGGCTCGCGATAGGGCCTAGGAAGCCAGGGGGTTATAACTTGGCTGCGTTTCAGCCATGCCCTTTCTATCATGAGCGCTAATCCGACCGTGGTGGCTGTGTATTTCTGAGTTGGGTCAATGATTTACTCAAACCTGTCAAAGCACCTGTTAGACATTTTTTTGTAGCATGTGTGGAAATAACATACGCAAGCACATTTTGTAGTTAGGCGTGCAAAGTTTAATTTCCGTATTACTTAACTGAAAATTCGAATCAGTCTTCCAGAGGGATTACCGTTTGTGCATAGAGTAGGAAAAGTGGGTATGATATGTACCTAGGTACGTTTCAGTGTTGCAGATACTCCCATTGAAGAGTTCAAAAGACAATCTGGTAAGCATGCGTAATCTTTCAATAAATTCTCATCAGGCATTTACATTTATATTGCAATCAGAATGAGTAAAAGGAAAATGCGGCAAGCAGAAGTTATCTTGTAGCTGGGGTTTGGACGGGAGGGTCTGGGTGGTTAAGGTGAAAAACAAAATTACCGTCATTGTCAGGGGAGAAGGTGATGGTGGGCACTGGGACGGGTCGCTGGCACCGTGGTTTTGGCCCAAGGTAACTGTGGAGCCTGTCCGAAGTTCT